TATAGCCAGTATAACCACGCTCCAGACTTCACAAACCCTATAATTTCCTCCCTTTCCTACCCGCGGCCTCTGTCCCTCTACGTGGCACAGTCTGAGTTCTAGGCATAGGTAGTAGTTTGGTTGTTAGTGGAGAGTGGTGAGCATAGTTCAGCTGCTGAACTCACACATAATCATTTAGCACAGAGCGGAGAGAGAGAAACAGTCAAACCTCGCTCTGCCTTTGCTCTTTTCTCTAACCTCTCTCTGCTTCTTTCTCGTCCGTTTATTTTCCACAGCCCACGAGAGCCTTTTTCAGGGCAGAGCGCTCCACACTTGTACGATTTGGTCTGGCTCTCGGCCTTTATATGGTTGAGCAGTATGTAGATGTTCACTGACCTGTTAGTTTCTCTGACAGTTGGAAAAGGACAAAGTTAATTGTTACATTTATTGTAAAGATGTAAAGATAATATTTTTAGAAACTGTGGAACATTTTAAAAAGCAAACTGACTTTTAGCAAACTTGTGTTATGTAATCTAAAGTTATGTGGTTAACTTTGTAAAATGCCATATCTAATAACATAATCACAGAAAACGTCTCTATCCGTTTTATATTACATTTATAAACAGATAAATGTCACAGTCATGACTTCTATTCCATAGTGTGATCCAAGCTGCAAATCATAGATCCCATAATGCAACTTTGTCATGTTGACCTTTTTAATTTTAACAAGTGCCTTTGGTTAAAGTTATGGTGTGTAACTTTTTCAAATATTTTTGTTGTTGAAATCTGCTCCAAAACTGCTGCCAAAGCCTCCTGTGACCCAGGCTCATGGAATAGCACTGGCAGCAGTGCAGAGACATCTAACCTTCTAAACGGTTTGACCTCTCTAACCAGTCAAATGTTATTTCTGTTTGATCAGTAAGTTTTGTTGCAGTCTTATTTCTTGTAATTTCACAAGGACAAATAACTGAAGAGCCTGGCAGATCACAGTGGAGCATAGTGGAGCAGGGAGTGGGAGCGCTGGGTGGAGCAGAAAGCTCATCCAGAGCAAGACAAGACATCCAACTGTTTCCCACTGACTTGAATGTGAAAGTGTGGCCAGACTTTTGACTGGAAGTGTAGATGTGTAAAAAGTGGTAGAGTTTGCCTGTAAAGCAGTAACAGTCCTTCACTGCTGTGCTAAAATACAAGACAGAAAGATGTGGAGACAACGTCTGTTGTGATAGTTTTGTTTTTAATCAAAGAAGGTGAGTTTTGGTAGGGTGTTTAGGGGAAATGTGAATGTAAATATAATTGTACTGCATTGTATGAATATGTGTAATATGCATTTCACACATATCATGAGATATCAGTGAGTCAGACAGAGAACCTACAGTCTAGCTCAACAGTATGACTGTACCTGAGTCTATCTACTCTGTGACAAATTTGCTCAGTGCTTTGGCGTGTGTGTGTGTGTGTGTGTGTGTGTGTGAGGTCTTCTCTGCACTTTTAAAGTACGCGCTGCAGGTTTCAGCACGGGCTTTATCTTTAGAACCACAGTTTGCCTGTGGGGTGTTTTTAAATTGTGTGAGTAAGCCTGGGTGTGTGCACTGCAAGATTGAAAAAGCAGTAGCCTGTAGGTAGAGAGCAGCAGTAGTTTGCACCTTAGGAAACACACAGGCACATTTGTGAGTGTAAATGTAGACTGACTCTGTCGTTGCCCTTTTCACCTCCAGAGTAACTTGGAAGAATAATATTATTGTTTTCCTTTCAGAGGTGCAGAGCTGAATGTGGGGTTAGGGGCGCTGTTACTCCTAGTGGGCCCCTCTCTGCCACATGCCTCCAGGGTTCATTAGAAACAAATTACAAACAGGTCAGCATGCCCCTCATTCTGATTAATCCTCCTGACCCCTCGGCCTACAGGCTGCCATTACAGCAGCCTAAAACCACACCCTAACTAAACACACCTGCAACAACATGACGACTTCATTAATACAAAACTCAGCGGAGAATGAAACAACATACAAAATAACTGAAGCTTTTGATAGAGGATAAGGTTTTCTACAAATGCAAAAATCAGTACCTCTGTTAAGTGTGTTTTAAACTACTTACGACATTAAATGGATCTAATATAACTTTTTAAAAAGCTAGCACACTCTCCTGTGGGACAAAGTAGTGCAAAGAGGACAGTTTCCATGGAGATGCGAATAGGACAAGTAGTTTGCAGAAAGAGGAAGTAGTCTGTGCATCTTGTCTCATGCACTGATTTTACTTATCCATGTTGTGTATGTGTTTACAGAGCTCAAAATGTTTAGGTTTTTGCTGAAATTGTCATAAATGTATAATGTTTTCAGAGGTTTTCCTAATATTCTGACCCTCGCATGTATGTACAATAGCTGGGGAGAAACCTCTGAATATAACATACTCCAGGACAACACCACCTTTAACCACAAGCTCAATAATAAACATAGAATTGAATTTATACATTTATGACAATTTCACCAAAAACTAAAACATTTTGAGCTTCATAAACACAGATGTTAAGGTGGAAGTGTTGCATTGAAGTGCATACAATTGTACAGATGTACCTAATAAAGTGGCCGGTGAATGTATGTTCATGTATACAAGCAAAAATCTGTATTTGCTGCAGACTAGCTAAACCAGTCCCCAGGCACTTAGCGACAGCTACACATTATTAGCGCTGAGCTTCACTGTGTCCCACTTTCTTTAGGCACAGATGCTTTTGAAGCTCTACTGAAGCATGAACATCTCTGTCCCACTGGAACCTGGCAACCTCCCAGACAGACAGACCCTTCCATACATGAACACATTCACCGCCTCACTGGTGGGTCCCGCCTGAGTGGATGTCTAAATATTTAACAACATTTTGAAAGCACCCCCCTGAGGGTGTTTGATAGCTAGATGCCACCTGACATAGAGATGAAGAATCTTGTGGCAATGTGTCAGTTCTTAAATTGTCACTTGACTGCTTGTGTGTTCTTATTAGCAGGTTAGGCGGGTCAATACTGGCATGCTTACGTATGTGGAATCTCAGAGACAGGAATTAGTGAACCAGAAGGTCAAAGTACATTTTATAAACATAAAGTTTTACTGTATGTGCATGTGTCTCCCATCTCTTCTTGTATCTATATCTCTTGTGCTCTCAGCCCAGATGGGATTATAGAACAAATTCAATTTCTTATCTACAAAGGGCTACTGAGACCTGTTTTTACTGAGTCTTGGTTTTTCTTTGTAATAGAAGAAGCAGCAGGAAGCTATGGCATGTTATCACCATCAGGAATAGACTATCTCTATCTAACACACCAGGCTCTACCTTCATGTACAGGCATCGAGCATGTGTATATAGTGAGAAGCCTGTGTGTGAATTTTGTGTGTTTGTGTGTTTGCATGCAGAAGATATTGGCTGCTTGTGGCAACAGAGGTTGTTTCTCTCAAGAGATTTTCTTCCACCCAGGTCAATTTTATCACAGCTCACTGCCTATGGGGGAAAGAGAGAGACGGAGATAGAGCGGACTTTCCCCAGACTAAAGTGAACCAGGAGGTGACCTTCCAGTTTAAGATGGACAGCAGGTAATGAACACTGACACCAACACACAAACCATGTGGCCCTGAACTGCCTGCTCCTAAAGATACCATCTTCCTGTCCTTTTCTCCCTCCTTCCTTCCTATCATCCCCCACGTCTGCATTTCTGGCATGCTTCAGGCAGACAGAGGAGGCCTCCAGGACACACAAACAAAGACACAGAACACACTCACAATGGCACTGGCTGCAGCCATTGTCTATGTCCACTGAAGAAAAGGTCTTGGTGCTTGCATTACCAGAAGAATCACACCAATAACCCTACTGCTTTAATTCCATGACAGAGGAGATCACACTGAGCCTGTGGCTGCTGCCCTAAGCATTTTAAATCAACTCTCCTTTGGAGTGCCAGACTAACAGTAAACCAAAACCTCTGGCTTGGACTGTGAATTAAACTGAGTGATGCCATGAGACAAAGCACAAATCTCTGGCACAAGGTACATACATGGGTGAAAAGCAAACTGGAAAGGCAACTTTAATATAGACCAAAGCATTTTGGTATGTCGCCTTTGTCAGGGTCTGTTAAACATACATAACAGGGAGTCATTTAAGTAGCACAAATATAGGAAAAATACTAAAAACAACCAATCACATAAAAACACATTCATGTTGGTAAAAAAAAACACATCCATATTCACACAGACCCTGATGAAGCCTACAAGTCAAAGCACGTTGGTCTTAACGTTAAAGTAGATCTATACAGCAAGTATTGCTGATGCCATGAGAATGGAAGTGAACTGTAACAACCTGTAGTATTAGAGGCTGCTGGTTGGCCATCAACGGCCTGCAGCTGCTGGCTGCACAATGTCAATGCAACACTGACCTCTTCTGGTAGAAACAGCGCATAGCCACAACAAAGAACATTTTTTGAGGTTTGGTTACACAGATAAAAGTCTCTAAGGTCATCAGCAAGTCTTTGCTATGAATGCTCTATCCACAGACACTGTGCTGCCATAAGTATTACTAATAACAATGAAATGTGACATTTCTGAATTTAGCGCTGTCCAGGGTGTACCTTGCCTCTCACCCAATGCCAGCTGGCATAGGCCTCAGCCCCCTGTGACCCTCTTCAGGATAATGATTGGATGGATTTCTGAATTTATGAGAATTATGCCTTGTACTGAATCCCTCTTTCCTCACTGGCCCCTGCAGTCTCCACTAATCTCCAGTTATGCAGACCTCCATGATGATCAGGTTTGTAGCTGGGCCACGTAGCTTAGCGCTACATTAGCTGACTAACCCCTCCTCCTTACTCCAGCTAACGTAACCTCGTGTTTCCAGGGTCCATCTAACATGTATAGCTGCTAGCTGCTAGCTGCTAACAGCAGAGAGCTGCATGGGAAAACTAAGGAAAGTGAGACAGATAACCATTGACACACATAAGAAGAAAAGCTAAAAAATAAAATTAAACAACAGGAGCAGAAAATTCTTGCATACTCACTGAGGTGTAGCTGGTCTTTCCCGTGTTATGGTTCTGGTTGTGGTTGAGGTTCTGGTTCTCCTGCTCTCTGCACTGCAGCCCTGCCAGGTGCCTTTCCAGGGCTGCCCAGTCCATGGTGGGCAGAGGTTCTTCCTCTACACGCTCCTCCTCTCTGTATCCTACCATTCGTCCCCCAGCCCCTCCACTGCCTCCTCCGCCTCCTCCACCAGCACCCCCAGCACTTCTGCGGCTCCCCCTGCCTTGACTAGAGCTGCGGTGGCTGGGCTTGGAAGTCCCTGTGCCCCCCTTTGGTGTTTTCTGGGAGTGGAGCTGGTTGCTCCTGGGCAAAATCAGATTGCCATTCTGTTTCAGTTCTTCTGGGACGGCAGCAACTGAGGCGACAGTGCGTCCGCTGGGAGCCGGGAGGGGCGGCACGGTCTTTACATCCTGGTATTCTTCAGCAAGGTTGCGACTGTTCACTGTCTTCCTGTAGCCTTCGTCAAGGCTTTCAGCCCCCACAGTGCCTCCTCTGTCTTGCTCCTGACCAGGAGGCTGTGGAGAGGTGTAGTCCTCTCCATACTCACTCTCCCACTCTTCTATCACCTTCTTCTTATACTCTTGGTAGTCCTCGTCCTCCTCATAGTCCTCTAAAGTGACCAGGTCTGGAGAAGGGGAGGATTTGTAGTCCTCCAAGGTAGCCAGGTCGAGAGAAGGGGAGCAAGGTGTAACCTTGTTTGAGTTGGACTCTGAGCTGGAGCGGCTGGATGCATCACTCCCCAGGTCCATGCCATCCTCCCGGTAATCCTGCAACGACAAAGGAACAGAGGGAAATAATGTGACTGAGGGTGAGATAGTGGGACATGTAAAGAGAAAGGTACCACACAGAACAAGAGTTTAAGAAAGACACACTGTATGTTGGGCAGAGTGAATTAACAGAAATGGAATGAGGAAGAAAAAGAAGAAAATTTAAAGAAAGTTTAGGGAAGTGTGTACTTAGACATGTCACACCAGTGTTGTGGTTTGAGACCGGTGACCACAAAGAACTTCCTGTCCTGCAGGAACTTCCTTTCTGTATAGAATTTGCAGTCACTCTCTATTCATGGACGTGTTTTCTGGTCTCCTCCCTTACAACTGCACTGCAAAGCTTCCAAATCTTGCTACACCATGCTAACCAATAATCTCATTCCTTTTACATTCCTCTGTATTAGCAACTGTGTATGTCTGTGGGCTTGTGTAGCACTCGACACACACGGTTAAGGCGGAGTCAGTGTGGCTGGATGTGTCAGAATAATATCCCACCACCCACTGCTACATCTGCACAGCACCACAGGGACAAAACAGGGTGTTAGGAGGGCTGAGAGTGAGTGACACTGACGTATCAACAATACAAAGTGTAACACGGACAGATGAGTCCAGAGTTGTTGTCTAACCCTGACAGTGCTGCCACCGTGGAGCCCAAATCACCACCTGACTGATTAGTTCCCAGCTAATGAAAACGTCTCTGTTGTTTACAGCCCTCCACAAAGCTCCACCTAACCCAAGCCTTGCCTTGCAGAGTTATCTGTCTTCTCTCTACAGGAACACATTATCATAGTGCCTCACACCACTTCTAAAAGTTAATGAAAAGCACGGAGTATCAAAGTTTCTCTCAGGGAAAAGAAAAATTAACGACACAATCCTACGTGATCCACATTATGAGCTCCACTGGAAAATAAATTAATTACGAGGATTGCTGAGCACTGGTTAAGATCACAATGACTTACAGTAGCGTTGCCTCTAACAGAATACTCAAGAGAGAAAAACTGTAATATTACATTATTATTATCCTAATTATAACGAGCTTTGTTGGGTTATGACTACTAGACACACCTGTGCAGACACTGACTGCTGACGTCAAAGGAAAATGCAGAAAATATCTATGTTGAACAAAACAATGTGACTCTTGGGGACTGGATACACAGATTGCTGATGAGGTGTGGAGACACAGTGAAACTTACATTTCTCTATGTAATACTAACACTTTGAAGAGAACAGAAGTGGAGTTGCAAAGATGGCACCGACAGCACAAATGGGTGCCTTGACATGATGGCTATTTGTCATCATATAGTTAAAACAATATTATTAAAAAGCCTTGGTAAATCATTGCGTTGGGGTGTTGGGGCTTCAGAACGTCCAGAGAGAGAGAGAGAGAGAGAGAGAGAGAGAGAGAGAGAGAGAAATTTCATTTTGATTTTACGCACACACGATTTAGACCAGTGCCACAATGTATAATCACTGTTTTGTTTGTTATCCCCCAGTCTACATAGGAAAAACATGAAATCCCACGTTCAGTTCCTTGACATTATTCTCAGCAATCTTTGGGTTCTTTGCATTAAAAACCTCTCTACAGGAGCCCGTATGACTTTACAACTCAGGGGGGAGGATTTAAGGGCGCACAACATTACCAGCCCACTGTGGCCTAATACTATGAAAATGCTTATACTGGGTATTTTTACACCAAAATGGCTGCAGTCACGATTATGAGAATGTGCAAAAGGTCATATTGGATCTTAAATTGCATTTGATCAGACAGTGTATCAGTATAGCGAAGAACAACATACCGGCGTGCTCATCAAACGCCCTGGATCACTACACGGTCACCAGTCCCTGTGGTGTGTGAACGAGCCTGTCATCCCGGCTTTGTCACCCTTTGAGTGCCATGAAAAGCCGTATTCAGAAACCGGGTGGGTTTTTCCTTTCCAAAGTAGGAAGACAGCTGCGATCGCGTTTCAAATCTCGGTCACCAATCTTTTTTCTCGAAGTGGCATTGCGATTTGTGTAGCCTCAAAACAGCGCCAGGTTTCCATAAATGATCGCGTTAATACACGATGATCACATGAGCCCGATTAAAAGAATAGAACCATTTAAAGTGTGTAAAAGAGAGAGAGGGGAAGGCGCTGAAAGACGGCAGGCTGGTAAAGCTGATCCGCTGTGGGATTAACCGGAGCGCAGGCTGACCATACAGGCTGCATTTGGCCAACAAAATACAAGCAAATTGACAGCTGCGCCGATCCCCGCTCGGCAGCCGGGCGGGTGTTTGGGGGACGTTTAATTTATATGAAAGACTACCCTCACAACTCTGTGCGTCGTTCTCCAGACGGTTTGTAAGGGGCATCACCGCATACGCCCAGTCTTTGCGTGCTTCGAGCGCACTCCAAGTGTCAATTGCAAACGCATGACAGTTGTATAATTGCATCTGGCAATAAATAGGCTATAATTTATTTTAAGATGAATGTATGTTTTATAAATAGACATTATAGACATTATTCAGGTTATAAACATTTGGATAATACGTGTGCGTTTCTTCAATTTGCAGAGTCATTCATTGGCTACTCAAATGATGTAATGTTCCCAAAAAAAGTCCCAGGAGGAACCTGATATCCCCCCGGCAACAGCGGTGACAGAAACGCCCAAAATCACACTATCACGGCGGATGAAACTCGCTATAGCTGTGACCACACTGACCCCCAGTCTATACACTGTTAGCGGTCAAAATTGAAGTCGCTGCTCACATGAATAAAACCTGTCCCGGGAGAAGAGCTAAAAGTAGCCTGGATCCATCACCACTGCCATTTTAACGAGCCGATACTCACTGTCATCATCTTTGTAGCTTCCCGTCCTGTCTCAAGACATGGTAAAGTGTAAATCCGAGCTGTCAGACAACGGTGATGGTGCAGACTTGTTCCACAGCAGCTTTATTCTAAGGGCGGGTAGTGGTGGGGCTGGCTTCGCCGGAGAAATCACAGAGAGCCGGTGGATGATTCAGTACAGTCATCGCTCTGAGTGGTCTGTCCTCAGATGGAGTCCTGATAGAAAATAACGGATGGCTCAAAATCCCAGCAGGTCAGTGCCGCTTCTCTCCTTTCCTCCTCGGCACACAGAAAGATGCCCAGCCAACAGTTGGCAACGTCAGCTGGAAAATGAACAGGCTCTGAGTAAAGTGCGTCCCCTTATACTGTGGGCTTGCGCGCGTTTCAGAGCTTGCACACAACCGGGCGGCCTTTTACCTGAAAACAAGACTTACGACTAAGCGCAAAACAAGCATGCTTCTGCTCCATGGCAGGCACAGGTCTTGAGTTTGTGGCGGCTCTTCCTATAATAAGCCGGTTCTCTGTCGCAGCCTGCAGCTCAGAGGAGAAAGTGACGACGGCGGAACACAACTAAAGCCCAACCTTCTGCACCTACTGACCTTGCAAATGGCAGATAGAAGGAGAGGGAGAGAAAGAGACAGGGAGGAAACTATTTAACTGAATTATTAAACGTATTTCTGCTATTATCAATTTAGAATATCTCCATAGCCGATTTCTATCACAGATTTACAACACCATGGGTGTCAAGGACCCCCCGTTATAACCTGTCTATCATTTGGATACATACATTCAAAGCAAAGGCTGCCATCTTACACCGAATCACCAGTTTACTGGTACACCTGTACAATCTAATGCAACCCAACGCAACAGTCCTGCAATCAATCCAGCATTTGTGATGGTTCCAGTTTTTTATATGAATAGTCACACTTTTCTATTGTACAAAAATATTCTGTAATGTCAGCTATAGCACAAAGGGCAGCTTGATCATCAAACACCTACAGTACACACAAAATATCACATATTGCAAGGAGAGCTTTCACTTTCAACAACAACCTACACAGAGCAGTGAAGGCTGTTAACACCACTGACATAGTGCCTTCCTAGTAGACTATATTTTATATTAGGGCATAAAATAATACAGCTCTCATGGGGCCAAGTCCAACATCACCTCAAAAAAATGACCATAATCAACACTTCCTTGACACAGTATCACCAAAAACCGAGCATTATAAGGTTCACAAGAGAGGATTTTACTACAGATTAAATGTATTGAATTGAATCCTTGGGTTTTGTGCAGCTAGTCAGACAAGGACAGCAGGTTTATGTCACCTTTCTTTTGATATTTTACTAGTGTCATTTGTTTGTATTACACTGGAAACTGTTCTTGCTGGATGACGACAGCACAGTAGAGCTACACACACACACATGGCAGCTGCAGTGTCAGAGCTGAAGAGGGGTTAACACCAACATGCCATGATAACTTCATGCTGCATTCTGTTTCCTCCTGCAGCAGCTGGTAATTTACATATTCCACAACAGAGCAAGTTAAATGTCAGTGATAAACCAGCCTCATCCACAGCAGGAGTAAAACACAAGCCAAAGCATTTGTATCACAAATGTTATGATTAGGAATCGGATCTGTGTCTCTTGAGTGGTAAGTCAAACATTTGGGAATATAAGAGTGCGGCACTGTACTCCAGTGGTGTTGTTTGGATTCGCTCATTGAGTCCTAACTTTCCCTGCTCTGCTGGGCTGGCTGGGCGCACGCTTGATTGGTGGTTGTTTGAAGGATGGCAGCTGTCTTCAGATACGGCATGACGAATGTATAACAGCAGCACAGTGCTAGTGGGGATCTCCCCAAAAAGGACTCAGCAGGAGCTCAGCCTGTTTCTCCCATTCTCACTGCTCCTTTCAACTCTCTTATCAGCGCTTCCACTCCCGGTTCCCTAAACATTAATCGGTCATAGCGAAATAAAGTGAGGAGTTGTGGATTCAACTGAGTGCCTTTAAAGAGTTTAAGCTACTCCTGGGGGGTTTAGCTTAGAGAAAATGTGACGACTACAGTATAAGTTCACATGCTCACAGACAATTAACTTGTCATTAACTTGTCAACAGTAGGCCAGTACTGTTTGGTTCATGCCTACACACAGGAACATGCACAGTTTGCTTTTTATT